ATCCCTCAGCTCTTCAGCTCAAGGCGAGCGCTCTACCACTTGAGCTACAGCGCCACTTCCGGTTTTCTGGTGGTTTATTGGAGATAGGAGTCTCACGGTCTCTCCTGCCCGGGCTGGCTTTGAACCTCGATCCTCAGATCTCAGCCTCCTGAGTAGCTAGGATTACAGGCATGAGCCACCAGCACCCGGCACATCTCACTTTTTTATGTGTCAGATTGCATTCCCGTCTGGGAATGAGCCCATCCCATATGTGTCCTGTGTGGGCAGAAAAGGAGAAGCTGAGAGGTGACTTCCTCCTGTCCTCCCATAGGTACAGATTCCCAGGCTGTAACTCCGAGGAACATGAACAAGTAAAGAAGTAAGTGGACTGTGACACAAAGAAAAGCCCCCTTCTTGCAAAATGGGATCTTTGAGGGTTCTACTTCAAAGTGCAGATTCCTCATACGCACACCACTTGTGCTTTCCACTATGAGCAGAGGCTTGGGATTGGAGTGGTGGCAGAGGACACAGCTGTTGTGTGGTTGTGGACTCTCAGGGATGACAGGGAGGGCTGTGTGTACGAAATCAGTTCCTTTTTGTTACCTATCACGGTGTGAATATTGGAGATTTACCTATCAGAAGCTTCTAGAAGTGCCTTGAGAAGATCAGCCTGCTTGCAGGAGTCTCCTCCTGCTTCCCACCATGCAAGTGTGCATATAGCAGTCCTTGCAGAAAGGGCCTGATTTCCGAGAGCCACAGAACCGACACCCGGTGAAAGAACTTACCCACTATGCCATGCTCCACATGCCCTCCTTGGACCTGCTCCTCCACCTCCACATTCTTCTGGATGAGCTGGAGGAGACCGGGAAGAATGAGACCAAGAAACAGAGGAAGAAGTCCCTGTGTGGTCACCTCAGAGCTTGTGAGTAGGGATGGCGCCTGGGCCTCTAGGGATGGTCCTAATTGTCTGAGAGCCCTTATTACACCCCCCCCCCCCGGGTTGTAAGAATGTCTTTGTATGATATTCTCTGCCAGGCAATGTTTGTTCTATTGGTGAAAGCACTTGGGCTTAGCCACTCTTAGGAAAGACCTTACCTTCTCATCAGTGTTCAGTCCAAAGTAAACTTGTACAGCTTCCTCCATTAGAGCCTCATGGAAATTGAACTCCACCTTAACATCCAAAGACCACTGTCAAACTCCTTTACCTATTTCTCTTTCTCAGGTTTTGGCCTCCATAGAGTAGCTTCTCCTGACCTCCCAAGAAAGAAGCCCTCAGTGATGTCAGGGATGGTGATGGATGGAGATCTGGAACCATCACTGGACTCCACAAAGCATGTGCATGTAGAGGGGTTGTATGCATCCAACTGCACATGTGACACATATGAACCTGGAGGGACCCCAAAGGAAGAAGAAGATAATATGAAATGTCTTCCTCTGACTTTCACAGTGGGCTCAGATCAGCTCAAAAGGGTCAAATCAGCACTCCCCCTGGTGTGCTGGAGGGAGTAGCACACGTGGGGCTGATGGAAAATGTCCCCAGTCTGTGTTCAGGGGAACCAATGAGTGAGGTCCCAACATTAGATGCAGCTCAGAACATCCGGACAAATCTGTCCTGCTGCAGCAGAACCAATCTCCAACTGAGAAGTTAGAATCTGCCTCTCTCAACTCCAGGAGCAAATCCTATCTTTCATGAGGAGGTAGATCCCTTAGAGGATTCTGAGGTAGAATTTATGCCTGAAGGCAACTTAGAAGCCAACCTAGACTTAGAGCTTCCCTCCCCTCTCCCTGGGGATATCTCTCTTTTTCTTTTTGTCCTAATTGTTGTAAAATGTTCATTATTTTTATTCTTCTAAATTTATTAAAATGTGTATGTTTATGTTGTACAATTTATGGATCCTAAATACTGTAGGTTTTTAAGTGTACAATCTTATGTCCCAGACGCCTGGGTCCTAAGTGGGGGCAAAACACAGTGACCTGGAGCTGTCCAAGAGAACTTACTGGCTATACAGGGAACTGCTCAAAACACAGGGGATGGCAAGGAACCCAGTCCATGCGTGCATGGGGTGATCAGGCCACTACTAAAATTCTAGGACATAGCAAAGCAGATGTCCTTGAAAGTTTTTCTGTCTATTGAGACAAATGTCAGACCAAATGTAATTTATGGAGGACTTTCTTGTAACAGTGAATTCAAGTGTTTATGCACACCCATTGTGCTTTGTGCAAATATGTAAGTAAATTTCACTTGAAAATGACATTAAATAGCTCCTTTGGTGGAAAAGTAGTTGACAAAATACATAGGCATTAGGTTTACTGAAAAGTAAAAGCCATCATCAGTGGAAGAAAGAACACTCAGAGGGACTTACTCAGAGGACATGGCAGGGGTCCTGGCTCATTGCAATTATTCTATCTTCCAGACTGCCCTGTCCTTCCTCAGGAAGGAGGTTCAAAGCAGCCCCCATAGACAAATGTGAAAGACTCTTATTCACTGAGCCAGCAAAAGTCAGGACTTGTAGCATGGCTCAAGTTGTATGTTTAAGCACTGAACAAGAAAATAAGCAAGAGCTCAAGGCCCTGAGTTCAAACTCCACTACTGGTACAAAAGATAAAGACATCTAAACCTGAAATGTGTGCAATGGTAGCTTTAATCCAAGGGAAAAGAGATGTATAGAAATGGGAAAATTACATATTAGTTTAAGCAAAAAGGCCAGACTTATACATTAGGTCCAGATATGAAATAGAAAAAAGAAATGTAGTTTCCCCTCACACATCAACTCCTGGCCATCAATTTTGTCAAATAGGCACAATACTGGGTATGAATGACTCATTGCTCATCATACTACAAAGTCATAATCTCTAATTAACCCTCAAAAAGAAAGAACTGGGGTCAGGCTCAAGTGGCAGAGCACCAGCCAAGAGCAGAAACAACTGAAGAATAAGAAAACAGCAAAGAAGCTTGCAGACAACAGCTGCTATGCTAAGGCTGAGTCTTGTCTCTCTGGGGATCAGGACATGTAGTGTTATTTTTCTATCTCCACCTACTTCAACCTGAACCCTAAAATGAGTCACTAAAATGAGCCTCTGTTGAGACTTTGTGTAACTGTCTTTTGTGAAACACCCTATAATGTTAATGCCATGTATCTCAAGGACCAGTGATGTTTGGCTCAATGGGTAGATGCTAGCCTTGAGCAGAAAAGCTCAGCAATAATGCTTAATGAGTTTTCCATATGTTTAAAGGTAGGGTTTATTTCTTTTTAGTTAAGTGAGATAATTCCTAGTCATTGTATATTCCGAGTTTCATGGTTCCATTCTGCGTTTGTTTTTTTTTAAATTTAATTTAATTTTATTTGTGAACATACTGTACAGAGGAGTTACAGTTACATGGGCAGGATAATGCGTACATTTCTTACCAAGCATTGCAGCCTCCTCCTTTGTTTATCCTTCACATCCCTTCCCAGCCTCCCCCCTCCCCCCCTAATCCCAATCCTTCTCCTTCCCCCCCCCCCTCCCCGCACCAACGTTGTAAAGCTCGTTTTGGACATGACAACTTGTACTTCTCATTGTTGCATCAGGTCCACCTGTATCCTTAAACAACTGGTTTTTCCCCATCTCCTCCACAAGTTATACTGACATCAAATATAGTGAAAACAGGGGTTATACTGTGGAGGAGGGACATACAAAGCAACAAAGAAATAATCTTATAAATGTGTTAGAAACATATGCATGAAAGAAAAAAAAACATTAAAATACACATCTAAGGGTTCATTTTCCTGACAACACATTATCTGACCTTTTCCGCTTGACTCATACATATACTAGATATTACAAATAAGGGAAACCATGGGACCTACGTTTCTTTGGGCCTGGCTTACTTCACTTAATATAATTTTTTCCAAGTTTTTCCATTTCCTAACAAATGGGGCAATGTCATTCTTTCTGATGGAGGCATAGAATTCCATTGTGTATATATACCACATTTTCTTGATCCATTCATCTACTGAGGGGCATCTGGGTTGGTTCCATATCTTAGCTATGGTAAATAATGCTGCAATAAACATAGTTGTGCTGGTAGCTTTAGTGTGGTCTTGTTTGTAAACATTAGGGTAAATGCCCAAAAGTGGGATTGCTGGGTCATAGGGGAGCCATTCTGCGTTTTTTTTCTTCAAAAATGCTCTGGAGATAAGGACCATTTAGAATATATTTGTTAAACAAAGCAGATTTTTTTCTTCATGAATCAAAGCATTTTATATTTATGCAAATGGTTTAGTTGTGGGTGGTCCATGTGTGCATTATTGAAACCATATACAGCTATACTTGAAAAGATGATGCAGCTGACCATGGAGATGGTATGGAGATATTATTGGCTTAAATGTAGAATAACCCATTGGTGAGTGGGGGTGTGGCTGTTCATGTTCTATGGGAGCATGTGGAATCATTTATAAAACACCAAATAGATTCCAGCTAGCCAAATGCGGATCAGGATGATGTGGTACTATGTAGTGAATTGTGAAAGAATAGGAAAAACATCTTAGATATCCAGATACATTTTCTGAATGGAGTTATGAGGGATTTCTCTGTCTGTCTGTCTGTCTGTCTCTCTGTTTGGTCGTGGAGCTTTAACTCATGTGGGCACTGTCTCTGAGCTCTTTTTTCCCAAGGCTAATGCTCTTCTACTTTGAGTCACAGCTCCCCTTCCAATTTTCTGGTGCCCTGTGTCCTGTGTCACTAGATAAAATAAACTAGTGTCTAAGGCCTTCCAGAGGGCTTTGTGTTCCTAGGGCTGTGCGAGGAAGAGGGTGGGGCCTCTCCACCCTGCCCCTAACCCCCCCCCTACCCCCCCCCCCCCCCCCCCCCCCCCCCCCCCGCGGAGAGGAGCTGGGGAGGACGCGCTCCCTAGTGGCCCAGCCGAGCCACAGCCCCGCCCCTCCCTGCCCAGCCTGAAGCCCCGCCCCTCCCACCCCTCCCGCCCCCGAAGCCGAGTCTGCTCCTCTCGGGACACCTACAGCGCCGGGCTCCCTGTGGTCCCGCGGCCCTTATAGTTCCGGTTGTGGCGCCCGGGCGGAAAGTTGAAGCAGACGGACTGTGGCCGGAGATGGGCTTGGGGTGAGTGCAGGAGGAGGCGGCGTCGGCGGCGGCTTGAGGGTCGCGTTTAATCGGTTGTAGGGATACAGGCGAAGGGTGAGGTGAGAAGAGCCGCGCAGGCCCAGCGCCCGGCCATTGCGGCCTCCCCGCGCCGGCTCTGGGGCGCCATTCCCGGGGTCCCTGCGCTCCGCGACCCGGGACTGCCAAACGCTGAGTGAACAGCCACATTTCGCCCCGTTTTAGGCCCCTCTCTCCCCCGCTTTCCTCAGGAGGGACTTCCAGGTCTCGGATTCTTTTCATTGATTTTAGAGGTTGGTTGTCGGTTGTTTGGGAGGGGGGAGGGCACCTCCCGTCGCCGTCCATATGGAAGCACATTTGCAGCCAGACGTCTGCCTGGGAGAAGGCTGACAGGTAGCTGCGGCCTCCGCGGCGGCTGGGAGACTCAGACGAGGCCCACGCTTTGAGGCTCGCCCCCTGAGGGGTTTTGTTTTGTTCTAGCGCTGGTTCTGGGGCCTTGAACTCAGGGCCTGAGCCCGTTCCTGAGCTCAAGGCTAGCGCCCTACCACTGGAGCCACACTTGCACATCCCGTTTTCTTTGGTAGGTTAATGGAGATTAAAAAAAAAAGAAAGTCTCAAGGACTAGGATTCCTGGCAGGGTTGGCTTCGACCCACCATCTTCATCTCTCAGCCTCCTGTTGATGACCAGCGTGAGCCGCTGATGCAGGCCTTAGCTGGACGGTGTTCTGTAGAGCTGCTGAGACGCTTCAATCACTTTTCTTCAAGCATCCATCCAACACCGTGTTCTGTCACACACAGAGAGAACATGACTGAGAGGTGCTGCTATGACATTTTTAACAGGGTTATGTTGAACAAACAACAACTTTAATGAGGCAGAGATGAGGGAGACAAATTTAAATTTGTCTATCAAAATAGTTAAACATTTGGGACTTCTCAGGAGTGAATTTTTTTTCTGGTTAGTCTACTGATGTGGAAAGCTGAACTCCTATTTGAAACATATCTATGTCTGTTATGAGGTTTTAAAAAAAAAACGCTTTTGCTGTTTAACCTGTGTTCCTAACCCCCTGTTTAAAACATTGTTTTCAGTCAGGTTTAATTCTAGTTACTTAGCAAGCTGAGACCTAGAGGATCACATCTCAAATCCAACCCAGATGAAATCCTAGAGATTCCCATCTTAATACTGGCACACTCACAAAATTTAAAAAAATTCTATGCACAAAAATAAAGAAATAACAAATACAGAGACCCACTAATGTGGATACAACTTGTTGATCCTCTGTTAAGAGACTATAGTGTGCCAGGCACCAGTAGCTCAAGCCTATAATCCTAGCTACTTAGGAGGCTGAGATCTGAAGAGTTAAAAGCCAGCCCAGGAGTCTGGTGCCAGTGGCTCACACTTGTAATCCTAACTACTCAGGAGGCTGAGATCTCATGATCAAGGTTCAAAGCTAGCCCAGGCAGGAAAGTCTGTGAGACTCATCTCCAATGAAGTACCAGAAAACCAGAAGAGTGGCTATTGCTCAAAGTGGTAGAACTCTAGGCTTGAGTGAAAAAGCTCAGGGACAGCGCCAGGCCCTGAGTTCAAGCTCTACCACGGAAAGGAAAGGAAAGAAGGGGAAAAGGGAAAGGGAAGGAAAGGAGAGAGAAACTGTAGTCTGTTGACACAATGAAATAGCATGTAGTTACAAATAAATGACCCAGCTAAAAAAAAATACATAACTAAGGAAAGTGGGTTACAGGACTATATGTGTATACTTCGTACAACTTCATAGTCACATTGCTTGTGTCATATACAATTGTGGAAGACTTTAGGTAGATGTAAAAACATTATACAAGGTTAATGTTCACTGTTTGTTTTTTGGAATTCACTTCAAAATGTTTAACAATAGCCAGACTGCTTGCTGGTACAATGCCCAAGCACGGATGTGTGAAATTCTAAAATTCAAATTATAAGGGAGCTGTTGGAAACTTAGAACATAGTGGTTCACAGGAGCCAAATTACATTTTATTTATATATTTATTTAATTTTACTTTGAGGCTGCTATTGGGGCTTGTATTCAGGGCTTCATGCTTTCCCTCAACTTGCTGGTTCATGACTGATGAGCAGACTGGCTCCAAAATAAAAGCCTCTGACCTTAGCTTCCTGAGTATCTAGTATTATAGGCCACCAGCATTAAGCTATAGTGTGTGTGTGTGTGTGTGTGTGTGTGTGTGTGCGCGTGCGCACGCGCGCGCAAGCACGTGCATGTGTGGGCGTGCATGTGTGCGCGTGCATTCATGCACCCCAGTATTGAGACAAACTCAGGGCCTGGGTGCTGATCCTTAGCTCCCCCCTACCCCTGCCTCCCACTCAAAGCTAGTACTCTACCACTTGAGCCACAGCTCCACTTCTGGCTTTTTGGTAGTTAATTGGAGATAAAAGTCTCACAGACTTTCCTGTCTGAGATGGCTTCAAACCATGATCCCCATATCTCAGCCTCCTGGGTAGCTAGGATTACAGTTGTGAACCACGAGTGTGTATATGTGTGTGTGTGTGTGTATCTCTCTCTCTTCCCCCCTCTATATATGTATATATACATAAATGTATATATGTAAGTATATATATATTTATATAAATAAATACATATTTTATATAAAAATTGAAAGTTGGAAGTAAGGCCTACCTTTAATGCTTTTTCCCACTGGTAATAAGGTAGCCCTTGATCCACAGGTGTAGATAGTGTGTTTTGAGTGTGTCTAGGAGTGGTCTTCCCAGTGAATTAGGCTGCTGTCTTCTTTCTCCCAGAATTCTCTGCAGATTGACCTATATAGGGGTCACCTTGCCTTATTTCTGGAAAATTGGTTACAGTTATGGTGAAAAGATATTGCTTTCCTTCTGTGACATTTCTTTTTTTTTCCCCACAGCATTTCACTATTTGTAGCTTGTTGTCTGCATTCTGACTGGGCTGGCTTAGATTCTGTTCACCATGCCAACAGTGGTGGTGATGGACGTGTCCCTCTCCATGATTCGGCCTGTGTCAGTCGAGGGGTCTGAGGAATACCAGCGGAAGCACCTTGCAGCCCATGGGTTGACAATGCTGTTTGAGCACATGGCCACAAACTACAAGCTTGAATTCACAGCATTAGTGGTTTTCTCATCGCTTTGGGAGCTGATGGTCCTCTTCACAAGAGATTATAACACCCTGCAGGTACAAAAAGGAATAAAGACCCAAGTTGGTTGGAAAGAAAGCAGTATGATAATAGTGTACTGATTTTAGACCTTAGAATTATTTAATAATAAATATACAGGCACTTAATATGCACAGCTATAAAGCATAATTCATAACCAATAGGTCCTAGGCCTTTCTTTTGTAAAGCTGTGAGGTAGAGAAAGAGGTCATGGGGGCTGGGAAGGTGGCTGACTGGTAAAGTGCTTGCCTCGCATTCATGAGGCCCTGGGTTCGATTCCTCAGCACCACATAAGCAGAGAAAGGTCATGGTCCATTTTCTGGAATTCTTAGGAAAGGTGAACATTTCAGCATACCATGCTTCAGTCCCTAAATTCAACATTTTTTGCCATTCTGCTGTTTTCTACTTTCTCATACAATTTTAAGGTAATGAAAAATAGCCCTTATTAAAACACACACACGCACAGACACACACACACACACACACACACAAATTTCTTCTAGAAAGTTCAGAATGATGCTTACTCTACAACAGATAGTATTCATTTATAGATGCCAAGATATTATTATTTTTCTTTTTCTTCTTTTTTTCTATCCTGGGGCTTGAATTCAGGACCTGGGCGTTATCCTTGAAATTTTTGCTCAAGGTTGGCACTCTACCACTTGAGCCATAGCTCCACTTCCAACTTTTTTGCTGGTTGATTAAGAGTCTCATGGACTTTCCTGCCCAAGGTGGCGTCAAATGTCGTTAGATCTCAGCCTCCTGAGTAGCTAGGATTACAGGTATGAGCTACTAGTACCCAGCTCAATGTTGTCATTTTAAAATCTTAATAGGTATTGTCTTTCAAAGATATTTTTCTGAGATAAGCCAGATGTCTTTATTTTTTTTTCAAATTCTTTATTGTGATTAAGTGATTACATAATTTCCCAAATTTCACTGTATTGCGAGATAGTGATGCTTAGTTAAAATCACAAACACATTCTGATTTCATGGGGCAAATTGTCTGTAGTGATCTATAATATTTATGAGTTCTATGAGCTAGCCAGATGTCTTTAAACCATTAATATCTCCTATAGTTCTTAGCACAGTGTCTTGGCCAGTGAGTAGACAATAAGTGTTTCTGAAATTAAACTGAGCAATTAAATAATTGTTGGGCAATTTGGAAATGCAGGCTTAATGCAGTTTGCATTCTTAGTAATTTTTTTGTTGTTGTCAGTCGTGGGCCTTGAACTCTGGGACTGAGCACTGTCCCTCAGTTCTTCAGCTCAAGGCTAGTGCTCTACCACTTGAGCTATAGCGCCACTTCCGGTTTTCTGGTGGTTTATTGGAGATAAGAGTTTCATGGACTTTCCTGCCCCTGCTGGCTTTGAACCGCAATCCTCAGATCTCAGCCTCCTGAGTAGCTAGGATTATAGGCATGAGCCACTGGTGCCCGGCTGAATTCTTACTAATTTTTATTAAAGCTTTCCTTTTATTATCTTGCATCTTTATGAGACTTAAATTTTTTTTTAATCGTACTGGTGGACTCTTGCTGGTACTGAGTCTTGAATTCAGGACCTCATGCTTGGTAGGTAGATGCTCTACCACATGAGTCATACTTCCAACCCTTTTTTGTACTGGGTATTTTCAGATTATAGTCTCAGTTTATGCCCTGGATGGTTTGGGCTTTGATCCTTCCACTTGTGCTTCCCCATGTCAGTGGGGATAACAGGTGTGTGCTACCACACCTAGTCTTTGGTTGAAATAGAGTCTTGTGAATTTTCTCCCCAGGCCAGCCTCTTAACAGCAATTTCCCAATCTCTGCCTCTCAAATAGCTAGGATTACGGGCGTAAGCCACCCCACTCTGCTTGTACTGGTTTTCTTATAAGTTATTTAGCTAAAGATTTTTTGTTGTTTAGCAGTTCTAAAATTTAGAGAATTGCAATGTAATGAATGAGGTGTAAGAGGTAAAAGCAGAAGCTCTGGAGTCAGGCCACTTCTTAAAAATTTCCTCATTTAGGGCTGGGAAGGTGGCTCAGTGGTAGAGCGCATGTCTTGCATGCCAGAGGCCCTGGGTTCGATTCCTCAGCACCACATAAGCAAAAGGAAAAAAGCTGGAAGTGGCGCTGTGGCTCAAGTGGTAGAGCGTTAGCCTTGAGCTGAAGAGCTGAGGAACAGCGCCCAGGCCCAGAGTTCAGGCCCTATGACCGGACCCCCACCCAAAAAAATTCCTCATTTAAAAGTAGGGTGAACAATGGTAGGATGATTAAATCCGTGTAAAGTGCACAGAATGGTGTTTAGGAGATTATGGTTAATGGTCCATACATTTTGGTCATTACTTTAAGCTTATTTCATTGTCCTTTACAGTTGAGGAAGTCTGTTTTGCTGTTTGTGTGTGTGTGTGTGTGTGTGTGTGTGTGTGTGTGTGTTGTCTGGAACCTATGCTTTGGGGCTTACGGAAACTCAGTGTTCGCTGTATGATACTCAGACTTCGTACAGTTTATATTGGTTTCTAATAACAAAACAGCAGAGAATAATGAGCAATTTTTTTCTCGCCCAATAAGGAAGCACTGAGTAACATGGACAATTACGACAAGACATGCCTAGAGTCCGCACTGGTTGGTGTCTGTAACATTGTTCAGCAAGACTGGGGAGGTGCGATCCCTTGCCAGGTAATGCTTAGTTTTTTTCAATGTCCTTAGTTAATATCATTAACGAGCCAGGCACTAGTGGCTCACACCTGTAACCCTAGCTACTAAGGGGGCTGAAATCCAAGGATTGCTGGTCAAAGCCAGCCCAGGCAGGAAAGTATATGAGAATCTTATCTCCAATTAACCAAAAAAGGAAAAAAAAAAGTAGAGTTATGACTCAAGTGGTAGAGTGCTAGCCTTGAGCAAAAAAAGCTCAGGGACAATGCATAGGGTCTGAGTTCAAGCTCTAGGACTGGCACCAGAAAGAAAGAAAAAAGGAAGAGAAAATATAGACCCCCCAAACTGGCCTGTAAATCTTAGGTATTCAAGAGGCTGAGATCTGAGGATCTCAATTTGAAGCTAGCTGAGGCTAGAAAGTCCGTGAGACACGTCTCCAGTTAAGTAGCAAAAAGCCAGATGTGGAGCTGTGGCTCAAGTGATGGAGCACTAGCCTTGAATGAAAAAGCTAAAAAAGGGCTAGGGAATGTGGTTTAGTGGTAGAGTGCTTGCCTAGCATGCATGAAGCCCTGGGGACGATTCCTCAATACCACATCAACAGAAAAAGCCAGAAGTGGTGCTGTGGCTCAAGTGGTAGAGTGCTAGTCTTGAGCACAGAGAGACTCAGGGACAACACCCAGACCCTGAGGTTAAGCTACTAGGAGTGCATGTACACATGCATGAGCACATGTGCAAAACATACAAATCATTAACCACTGTAGTGTTGATTTTCCTCAGGCTCTAACCGCCTACGTTATAACTCCACAAACTACATTTTACACTATTTGTACAGTTTTTAAAGAAGGCATTAAATCACTGTAATCGTATCACACGAATTTAAGTCATAATAATGTGTTCAGAAAGCAGACCTATGCCTCGAGGAAAGTGTTTTCCTGGTAAATTGATGTACTGAAAATTTATATTGTTTATATAAAGACAAAGGGCTCACAGTAGAATTTATAACTATTCACTGAAGGACGGATTATAATTTTGTGTGGTAGAATTGTAAACACGGAACAATAGTGTCTATTCTTCATTATCTCAGTGTAGCAGTTATTCAGCAAATTTCTAACCATCTCAACTGAGTTGTCTAAAAAGTGAAGAGAATCATTAAGACTTGCTCTTGTGGGACACCAGTGGCTCACACCTGTAATCCTAGCTACTCAGAAGACTAGGATTTGAGGATCTCCATTCAAAGCCAACCCAGGCAGGAAAGAGGAAACTCTCATCTCCAGTTAAACACTAAAAAGTTGGTAGTAGAGTTGTGGGCCAAATGGGAGAGTGCTAGCCTTGAGCAGAAAAAGCTAAAGGACAGTACCCAGGCCCTGAGTTCAAGCTCTAGTACCTGCATTTTTGTTTTAAATGCACAAATTCAAAATACATGGTTTGGTCTTGTCTGTGAGGATGGATGTTAAGGAGAGCAGAGAGAGAGAAAAAGAATGGTGGACAAAAACAGTCATAATATTCAATGTACATATTGAAACTGGGACTAGAAAACTTCAGATGGATAAGTTTGGAGTACATGGAAAACTGATAGAAAGGTTGACACTGATCAAAGTGTATTCTACATATCAGTTGACGTTGAATTAAAACTCTGTGGTATAAGTAGTTAAAGATAATTTTAGCCCGGGGCCAGTGGCTCACATATATAATCCAAGTTACTTAGAAGGCTGAGATCTGAGGATCCAGGTTCAAAGTCAGCCCAGCAAGAAAGTCTGTGAGGCTCTTATCTCTAATTAACCATCAGAAAACCAGAAGTGCAATTGTGACTCAAAGTGGTAGGGTGCTAGCCTTGAGCAAAAAGAGCTCAGGGATAGCACCCAGGCCCTGAGTTCAAGTACCATGACTTAAGCCAGGCATCAGGGGCTCATGCTTGTAATCCTACCTACTCAAGAGGCAGAGATCTGAAGATCATGGTTTGATTCTAGCCTGGACAGGAAAGTCTGTGAGACTTTTATCTCCAGCTAACCAGTAAAAAGGCAAAAGTAAAAAAAAAAAAAAAAAAAGGCAAAAGTAGAGGTGTGGCTCTAGTGGAAGAACACCAGTCTTGAGCAAAATAGTTCACAAATAGAGCCCAGGCCCTGAGTTCAAGCCCCAAGACCGGCACATAAACAAATAAATCACACAGTTTGCTAGATTTTCACAAGTGGAAGCATGTATGTATATCCTTACTACAATTAAGACCTAGAACATACCCATCACCCCACAAAGCTCCCTGCACATTCCTGTAGCAGTGAAAGCAAACCTGGGTGGAGCTGTTGGGCATGTGGCTTAATGGATACTTGTCCTTTGCACACAGGTCGTTCTGGTGACGGACGGCTGTCTCGGCATTGGTAGAGGGTCCCTGCAACATTCCCTAGCGACACACAATCAAAGGAGCGACAGCAACAGGTTCCCGCTGCCTTTCCCTTTCCCGTCTAAGTTATACATCATGTGCATGGCAACCCTGGAAGTTACCTGCCTTCTGCTAACTGCTTTTTAGATGGGTTAGGTAAATCCCAGGGCTCGGTTTATTTTTCAGTATATTCAATGAACACTCTTGCGTACGGTATAACATTTAGATTTGAAAAGACTTGATTTCACATGCTCTTTGACATAACAACACTCACCTCTCCAAGAGTATAGCTGGAGATGCCCATTGTGCTGATGACCATGAAGGGTTGAGATGTTCTTTTTTTTCTGTCCATTCCTCCAGAAATGTTGACAGAAGTATACTTTAGGTTTTTTTTGTTTTGGGGGGGGGCTTTTTTTGGAAGGGGGGAACATAGGTCTTTTTGTTTGTTTGTTGTGGTGCTGGTATTGGGGCTTAAAATCAAAGCCTGGATGCTGTCCCTGAGCTTTTTGCTCAAGACTAGCACTCTACCATTTTGAGCCACAGCTCCACTTCTGGCTTTTTTGGTAGTTTAGTGGAGCTGAAGATCTCACAGATTTTACTACTCAGGCTTGGCTTCAAACTGCCATCCTCAGCTCTCAACCTCCTGAGTGGCTAGGATTACAGGCATGAGCCAACAGCACCTGGCTTCTGATGTGTTTTATTAAATACTTCCTGCTTTTCCCATTGAGTCAGGAATTATTTCACTTTACCTCAGTTTTTCTCTATAAAATGCTGATAATTGATGGCTCTTGCCAAACCATGTCAGGAACAGGTTGTATGGAAGATGCTGTATGGCTACTGACTGTGGTCTCCTGAGAATCTGCAGAACTACTTATGAATGAAGTACCTCTTGTAACCTTGAGGCAGATTGCAATAGTTGAGGTAAGAAAGTCCATGAGACTCAGTATCTCCACTAAACTACCAAAAAATCTGGAAGTGGAGTTTTGCTCAAGTGGTAGAGTGCTAGCCTTGAGCAAAAAGCTCAAGGACAGCACCTAGTCTCTGGAATTGAGCCCAGGAACTGGCACACACACAGAACAATTGTTGTGCTACTTCTTTATTTGTATTTTTTTTTGGAGGGGGTCCCATCGTGAGACCTAAACTCTGGGCCTAGGCGCTGTCCCTCAGCTCTTCAGCTCAAGGCTAGCGCTCTACCACTTGAGCCACAGCACCACTTCCAGCTTTTTTCTTTTTGCTTATGTGGTGCTGAGGAATTGAACCCAGGGCCTTATGTATGCAAGGCAAGCGCTCTACCACTGAGCCACCTTCCCAGCCCCTGTAGTTACTTCCTTCTGATATTGACTGTTAAGAAAATCATCTCATGACTCAACACCCGTAATCCTAGCTACTCAGGAGGCTGAGATCTGAAGATCATGGTTCAAAGCCAGCCTGGGCAGGAAAGTCCACAAGACTCTTATCTACCAAAACTACCAAAAAAGCTGGAAGTGGAGCTGTGGCTCCACTTGAGACTTGAGTCTTGAGACTCTTATCTCCAATTAACGACTCAAAAAAACTGAAAGTAGCTCTAGGCTGAAGTGGTAGAACACTAGCTTTGAATACATAGAGGCTCAGGGACAGCATTAAAGCCCTGAGTTAAACCCCTGCAACGGACAAAAAAAAAAGTATAAGGCCTTGAGTTTAAGCCCCAGTACCAGAACCAAAAGAACAAACCAAACAAACCGTTTATTGCCCATTTTGTTACAGTGGCTGTGGCCTTGGTGTGCTGGTAGTGATGTGGTGATTTGTTCTACTTTAAAGGTGTCCTCTCTTGCTTTGTAGCTTCAGAGCACCGATTTCCTGGAATGCCTTGAATGTCTCATAGACCTCAACAATGGTGAAGGGCAAATTTTTACTATTGATGGCCCCCTGTGCTTGAAAAACGTGCAGTCTATGTTTGGGTGAGTATATGCCTTAAAGTTGTTTTTTGAGGGGAGTGGGGGCTTCTTTACAATCTGATATTATAATTTGACAACCAAGAAGAACAGTTACTGTATTATTTCTTCAGTCTAATGTTCTCCCAACTGAGCTATTTCGGCAACCTCTCAGTTACTGTATTATTTCTAACAGTGTGAGTCCATTTTCCCACAGTTGCCCGTTTCTCAGGTAAAATAAGGTGGTCATGCTTTAAAAAGACTCAGCTGTTCCCAAGTTTAACTTGCTCTGGGGTTTCTCTTTCAATTGAAATTTCCTCTAAAAACATCAAAATGTTTTCCGTTTCACAAGTAGATTTAGTTTTGGAATCAGTGCGAAGGTTTAACCAACTTTACATCTTGAAATGTTACTTTTTGTGTACAGTCCTTTTATGTGTACCACATGTGAACTTTTCCTCCCTTAACAAGTCATGATCATCTTCTAGAAAGCTGATAGACCTGGCATATACGCCTTTCCATACTGTGCTCAAGTGTGGCCACCTGACCGCTGACGTCCAGGTCTTCCCCAGGCCAGAGCCATTCATTGTAGATGAAGAAATCGATCCTATCCCAAAAGTCATTAACACAGGTAATGCATTAAAAATTCCCTCCTGGCCTTCCTCTTTTCTCTGCCCTCTTTTCACTTGTGACTTACTTTCTCCCCATCTAGGTGGGTTGGAAAGAATCTTGTATTCTCACAGGGAGGTGCTATTGTCATCAGCCCTGGATTTTTTTTTTTTTTTTTTGCTGGTCCTGGGGGCTTGAACTCAGGGCCTGGGCATTGTCCCTGAGCCTCTTTTGCTCAAGGCTAGCCCTCTATCACTTGAGCCACAGCACCACTTCAGACTTTTCTGTTTATGTGATACTGAGGAATCAAACCCAGGGCTTCATGCAGTCCACAGGAGAACCTTCTTAGGTGATTTGTCTATACTGAGATAATGCTTTCTGCATAGATTTCAATCCACTCTATCACAATTACTCATTTGGAAGTGTTCTCATTATCATCATTTTTTCTGATTCTTTTTCCCACCTTAGTGTGCCAATGAGTCAGGCCTGACCCTGAATGTGCCATGCAATATATAGAGCCCAGAGGCAGGCCTGCTGGACATGCTGGTGATGAACCTGGTCCCTGTCTACCAGAAAGGCGATCTCTTCTATGTTGGAAACTTCCTCCACAATTATAGACAGTGGGGGACAATGGAGCAAATGCTGGATATTGTGTTTAAAAAGTGAGTGTTCCTCCTTCCTTCGCATCTTGGTCTGTTCAGTCCCTCCTTGCTGAGTTGTGGAATACTTGGCACCCCTCTGAACCTGTTGATTTCATGGGGGTCTTCTCACAGGAGCTTGGCATGAGACAAAGAAGTGCACCCCCTGCCAACTTTCTTTTTTTTTTTTTTTTTTGTCGGTCATGGGGCTTGAACTCTGGGCCTGAGTGCTGTCCCTCAGCTCTTCAGTTCAAGGCGAGCGCTCTACCACTTGAGCTACAGCGCGACTTCCCCTGCCTACTTTCTTAGTAGTGGTCTGCCCAGGACATTTCCCAGAAAAGCTACTGGAACCTCAGAAGCTTGCTTACTGAGGGGCTGTTATTACAGGCATGTGCCACTGGCACCCAACTTCTGCCCTCACCTAGGTGAGGTGCTAGGAAATCACATTTCCCATGAGTAAATAAGGTTTCATTGGGAATTGGATATCTGTGAATAATGTAGACCCAGGAAAGGCTGGGGTGTGGGGGAGGCAGGTGAACTGGAGGTGGAATCACCTCAGAGACCTCAGGGAGGGATTATGTTGCCTTTACATATTTATAACCCCTGAAGCTTTTATGATTTTGTGTGTGTGCCAGTCCTGAAACCTGAACTCAGGGCCTGATTGCTGTTTCTTTGGTGCTCAGAGATACCACTACAGCCTTTGAACCATAGGTGCTATTCTGGTCTTTTAAAAATTAGTTCTTTAGACTTTCACTGACTAATGTCTGATCAGACTGTGCACCTGAGATCTCATGTTCCTGTTGAGCTAGAATTTGAGGTATTAGCCACTGGCACATTTTCCTTGGACCAAATATATATACCTCTCATAGAAGAATTTTCACTGAACTGTATAGACATATCTCACTTGTTTATGTGTCAGATTCCATTCCCATCTGGGAATGAGCCCATCCCATATATGTCCTGTTTGGGCAAAAAGGAGAAGCTGAGAGGTGACTTCCTCCTGTCCTCCCATAGGTACAGATTCCCGGGCCGTAACTCCCAGGAAGATGAACAAGTAAAGAAGTAAGTGGACTGTGGCACAAAGAAAAGGACCCTTTGTTCAAAATGGTATCTTTGAGGCTGCTGATTCAAAGTGCAGATTTCTCATTTGCACACCACTTGTGCTTTTCACTAGGGGGCACAGGCTTGGGATTGGAGTGGTGGCAGAAGAGACAGCTGTGGTGTGGTTGTGGACTCTCAGGGATGACAGGGAGGGCTGTGTGTACAAAATCAGTTCCTTCTTGTTACCTATCACAGTGAGAATATTGGAGAATTATCTTTCAGAAGCTTCTAGTCGTGGCTGGTGAAGATCACTCTGCCTGTAGGAGTCTCCTCCTGCTTCCCAACATGCAAGTGTGCGTATAGCAGTCCTTGCAGAAAGGGGCTATGGGAGGCCCAGGATAGGGAGGGCAGGCACTCACTCTTCTTGTCACCAATCTGCCCACAGCACCCTTTGTTCCGTCTTCACCATGTGGATGGACTGCTATCCTGCTGATTTCTGAGAGCCCCAGAACCGACACCCAGTGAAAGAACTTACCAACTATGCCATGCTCCACATGCGCTCCTCGGACCTGCTCCTCCACCTCCACATTCTTCTGGATGAGCTGGAGGAGACTGGGAAGAATGAGACCAAGACACAGAGGAAGAAGTCCCTGTGTGGTCACCTCAGAGCATGTGAGTAGGGATGGCGCCTGGGCCTCTAGGGGTGGTCCTAATTGCCTGAGAGCCCTTACTACCCCCCTGGTTGTAAGAATATCTTTGTATGATACTCTGGGCCAGGCAGTGTTTGTTCTATTGGTGAAAGGAGTTGAGCTTAGCCACTCTTTGGAAATACCTTGCCTTCTCATCAGTGTTCAGTCCAAAGTAAACTTGTACAGCTTCCTCCATTAGAGCCTCATGGAAATTGAACTCTATCTTAACATCCAGAATCCACTGTCAAACTCCTTTACCTATTTCTCTTTCTCAGGCTTTGGCCACCATAGAGCAGCTTCTCCTGACCTGCCAAGAAAGAAGCCCTCGGTGATGGTCAGGGATGGTGATGGATGGAGATCTGGAGCCATCACTGGACTCCACAAAGCATGTGCATGTAGAGGGGTTGCATGCATTTGCAGTGAGGCCCCAACGGGTTGTGAGTCCTGTGGATATGCCACTGGTTCTGAACCCCATATGTGACAGAAATGAAAGAAAGAAGAAGGTAATAGTGATTGTCTTCCTCTGACTTTCACAGGCAGCCCAGATCAGCTCATAAAGGGTCAAATCAGCACTTCTCCTGGTGTGCTGGAGGGAGTAGCACATGTGGGGCTGATGGAAAATGTCCCCAGTCTGTGTTCAGGGGAACCAATGAGTGAGGTCCAAACGTTAGATTCAGTTCCGGAAAGTGAATCTGTCCTCACAGAACATCTGGACAAATCTGTCCTGCTGCAGGAGAGCCAATCTCCAACTCAGAAATTAGCATCTGCCTTCCTCTCAACTCCAGGAGCAAATCCTATCTTTCATGAGGAGGTATATCCCTTGGAGGATTCTGAGTTAGAATTTATGTCTGAAGGCAACTTAGAAGATGACCTAGACTTAGAGCTTCCCTCCCCTCTCCCTGGGGATATCTCTCTTTTTCTTTTTGTCCTGATTGTTGTAAAATGTTCATTCTTTTTATTCTTCTAAATTTATTAAGATGTATGTTTATGTTGTACAATTTATGGATCCTAAATACTGTGGGTTTTTTAATGTACATTCTGGTGTCCCAGACACATGTGTCCTGAGTAAGGGCAAAAGACAGAGTGACCTGGAGCTGTCCAAGAGCACTACCTGGCTATAGAGGGAAGTGTTCAGTGCACTGTGAGGGGCAAGGAACCCAGCCCATGCCTGCATGGGGTGATCAGGCCACTACTAAAGCTCTAGGACATAGCAAACCAGATGTCCTTGAAAGTTGTTCTGTCAGACTAAATAAATGTACTAAATGGGGGACTTTCTTCCATTAGTGAAGTCAAGTCAGTACGCACCCCCATTTTCCTCTGTGCAAATATGTAAGAACATTTCACCTCAAAATAACATCAAAAAGCTACTTTGAGGGAAAAGTATTTGACAAAATACATGGGAAATAGGTAAAAGCCATCATCAATAGAAGAAAGAAAACTTAGAGGGACAAAGACATGCCAGGTATCCTGGCCCATCTCAATAATTCTAGTTTCAAGAGTGCTCTATACTTCCTCTGGATGGAGCTTCAAATCAGCCCCTGTAGACAAATCTGAAAGACTTATCCAATGAGCCAGCAAAAGTCAGGAAGTCCTAGCATGGCTGAAGTTACATGTTTCAGAATGGAACAAAAAGTAAGCAAGAGCTCAATGTCCTGAGTTCAAATTCCACTACTGGCACAAAAGATGAAGACATCTAGACATGAAATGTGGGCAATGGTAGCTTTAAACCATGGAAATAGAAAAACATACAAATGGGAAAATTACATATTTAAGCAAAAAGGCCAGACTTACAAACCATTGGTGAGTAGGTGTGGGCCTGTTCATGTTCTATGGGAGCGTGTAGAATGATTTATGAAACTCCAAATAGATTCTAGTTAGCCAAATGTGGATCAGGATGATGTGGTACTATGTAGTGAACTGTGGAAGAATAGGAAATACATCTTAGATATCCATATTCACTTTCTAATTGGAGTGGTAAGGGATTTCTCAGTCTTCCTGTCTGTTTTCTTGTGTTTGTCTTTCTGTCTCTGTCTGTCTCTGTTTCTGTCTGTCTCTGTCTCTGTCTGTCTCTGCCTCTGCCTCTGTCTCTGTCTCTGTCTCTCTCTGTCTCTCTCTGTCACTTTCTGTCTCTCTCTCTCTCTCTCTCTCTCTCTCTCTTCCTCTCTTCTGTTTTGTTGTGGAGCTTGAACTCATGTTGTGGGACCTGTCTTTGAGCTTTTTTTTGCACAAGGCTAAAGCTCTTCAACTTAGAGTCACAGCTCCCCTTCCAGTTTTCTAGTGGTTAATTGGACAGAAGAGGACTTTCTTGACAGATATGGCTATGAACTATGATCCTCCCATTTAGACTCCTGACTAGCTAGCAGTACAGGCATGATCCACAGTGTCCAGTCAGGGAATCTCTTTGTGTGTGTGTGTTAGATCTTGCCTCCCTCCTCTCTGGACAAATGCCTGTTTTACTATTTATTGTTTTAACAGTATTGAAATGTCCATGTTTACATGATGTTGTAAAATTCTTGAATACAAAATACTCTGGTCTTTTCTACCTCCAATCTAATATCCTGGGCACATGGGGCCTGATTGGGAGGAAGCAGAGTGTGCTGGATCTGGGGAACAAATCTGCTGGATTTACAAGGAACTGGTGACTAGAGGGAGCCACAAGGAATGCAGGCAGTGGAGGATGCAGCCTCTGCCGAGATAGGACCCTTGATGCTGAGAGACAAAAGCTCTGTGTTATATCAGAACAGGTGTCTTTGAAAACTTGTCCCACTTGAATCTCAAGCCCCCACCTCTTACTAGGGATAACTTCCCCTTCCCAGCTAGTCGGGTAAATGTGTTGATGTTTGAAGCTCTCTGCCAACCATGAACAATTCTGCACTGTGCAAATATAGAACATATAAATTTTAAAAGCTAGAATTAAATATTTGGTGCTGTTTTATGCTCTTAAGATGTTCCTTTCGTTGGGTTTTCATGAAGATTTTCTAAGTCTGCATGAGGGTGGATATGGACTGTAAGTTATCAAGATGACACAATAAGAGACTCATGCCTGCATTTGGAGAATGGTCTGGAAATGAGCTTGCTGCACATATTAGCTTACTTGGGCTAGGCATTTTTCTCTGTAAGAAGTCATTTTGGCTGCCTTTTCCCGTTCATTATATCAGAAGCTACAACCTCTAACATGTAAATAGATGTACTTTTATGTAACATTTAAGAAAATCTGAGGGAATATTTAACAGTATTTGGAAAAGGGTGTCATTTGTGGTAGTCAAAAACTTAAATTCTAACCATGTTCGCATTGTTCTACACAAATAGATCAATGTGTCTCTGTATACCAGGTGAGGAACAGTTCTTAGTCTCCCTGTCTTGAGGCACACATTCTGAGAATCCTTGAATTTCATCTGCTCTCTATCCCAGGACAATAGATTCTGAGAGGAGGCCTGGGCCCTGCAGTGTGGCAGAGGTGCATGTGCAGAGGGAACATGTCTGGTTGGCATGCTGGAGTGGGAAATCCAGAAACTCTGGCAATCACCAGTTCAGTGAAGAGGACTGAGGGTTTAGGAAGGGACCGAGTGAAGAGTGCGTGGTGTAGGTGGTGTGTGTACAGAATGGTGGTGCTTGAACTTAAAAGCTGGCCACTGTCTCTGAGTTCTTTCACTCAAGGCTAGCCCTCTACCACTTTGAGCTACAGCTGGAGATAATCTGATAGCATTTCCTGACCTGGCTGGCTTTGAACCATGATCCTCAGATCTCAGCCTCCTGACTAGCAAAGAATACAGGCCTGAGCCAGAGACACTGATCCATATCATTTTTGTGTGTAGACTATTGGTGGTAAAGAAGACTCATTTATTCAAGAACTAAAAAACGACTAACAAAGGAGATTGTTGATGAAAATCTGCATGTCTAACAGAAGACTTGGGTAACATTGTGACAGAAAAGGCTAAATTCCAAAATTGGGATTATTTTCTGTGTTCACTACATACATCACTTACATATTATATATAAAATAATATATATAAATATAGAATATACTACATGATAATACATATATTTGAATGTATTTTATAGGAGGACTAGGATATGACATTGTGGGTCTCGAATATGTTGTTTCACAAAACATTAATGTAAAAGACATTATTGGGGAATTCAGTGATATACCATTGATTCCCATATATTGTGTAGGCATATATGTCTCAAGTCAACATAGTTAAATTCGCCAAATGCTGTTGCAAAAAGGGGTCATATGCTGGACACTGGTGGCCCATGCCTATAATCCTAGCTACTCCAGAGGCTGAGATCTGAGGATCACAGCGGAAAGTCAGCCAGGCAGGAACATCCATGAGACTCTGATCTCCCAATAAGCAACCAGAAAACCAGAAGTGGTACTGTGCCTCAAGGTGGTAAAGCCCTAGCTTTGAGCTGAAAAGCTGAGGGACAGGGTCCAGGCCCAGAGTTCAAGCCCAACAAACAATCCCCCATCCCCCCAAAAATGTGCGATGGCAGGTAATGAGCTGTTCATATATAGCTCAGGCCTGTGATCCCAATTAATCAGGAAACTTGGTTCTGAGTTTCAGAGGTTCTATCCTCAGGGCACTAAGTTTTGAGAGAAGACTTGAGCCTCTCAAGGGACACAAAGAGACATGTGCAGTGGAGGATGGCTTGTGTCTGTGCTTGGATGGGAAATCCAGAAACTGAACAGCCATTGCCACAGTTGAGGAAAGATGAGGCTGAAGAGGAGCAATGTCCATGCTGGGTAGGAAAGTTCCATGAATCTCTCATTTCCAGCTCACTACAAAAAGCTCAAATTGGACCTGTGTCTCAGGTGGTAAAGCACTAGTTTTGAGGAAAATTGCTCAGGGATAAGGCAAAGGGTCCAAGATCAGAAATGCACACACACACACACACACACACACACACACACAGGCACAGAACCCACAGTAAATATTGTATTTTCAATTCCTATGCAGAGACTGGACAACAGCTCAGCAATGTGTGAAATTCTTCCCGTTTGTGTTGAGGGAGGAGGATAGATCATGGGACACAGAAGCAAAGACTTCAGAGGCAAATGACTATATAAACGATTAGCTTGTAAGACGTAAAGGAGCAGTTTTCTACCTTAAATACTACATTCCTTCAAAGCTATAGTAAAACAAATCCTAGTCATCATAAAAAGACAATGCAGCAGCTCTTCCTTTCTCTGCTTGCCTCCATGAAATATTTCAAGTATAAAAAATAATTTTCTCACTTCCAAAAATGGACACCTGTGGCTGGGAAGGTGGCTCAGTGGTAGAGTGCTTGCCTAGCATGCCTTGCATGAAGACCTGGGTTCAATTCCTCAGTACCACATACACAGAAAAAGCCAAAGTGGTGCTGTGGCTCAAGTGGTAGAGTGCTAGGCTTGAGCAAAAGAGCTCAGGGGAGTGCCCAGGCTGAAGTGAAGCCACAGAAATGGCCAAAAAAATAGACACCTGTAATAAAGGCTGATTATATATGTAATGTATGTTTTCCAAGATTCCTTTCAATTTCCCATCTCTAAGTATTTGCATTGGCTCCAGATGACACCAGAGAGGGGTTCCAAGGACAAACAGATTAGGCTACAGAAAGTAAACAATGACCTAGGATGTTGATGTCAAAATATGTGCCAGAAGGATGTGGCAGTCACAGAAGGCCTTGAGAGGCAAAGTAATTTGAGCCTGATTAGAGGAATAGTGACAGATATGCCATGAATGTGACCTAGGAGTGACTCCTGGAAGCAGAGAACATGCCAGAACCTAGGGCTAGCAGATTAGGATTGGACAAACAGGGTGTGCTGTTAACTCTGTCTACATGTACACTTAGCCATATGGGGGGGGGGGTATTTTTTGGGTAAGGAAGGGGCAGAGGTCATTGGGCCCTGACAGGTGACCCTGCCTCCTTCACAATGGAATAGAACATGGAACCCTGATAGCAGGCCACGGTAACTCACAGTTGGCTCAAGCCAGCTCACTTGGCCTGTGACTCAGGAACCAGAAACATGTTCTTGTGCTGTATTTGCAGGTCTCGAGACTCTGGTCTCAGCCAAGAGAAGTATGGGTGCCTCAGTCAAAGCTGTAGACACTGGATCAGTGGCAAGCCACGAACCAACCATCTCAGAGATTTGTCCAAAAAGAAACCTAGGAAATCACAAGGCAACTCAGGCAAGGTATACTCATGATAGAAAACCTACTTAACCCTAATCTGGTCCACAGTAGAACCTTCTTATGTGATTTGGGTTTACTGAGATAATACTGTCTGCATAGTTTTCAATCCACTCTATCACAATTTCTCGTTTGGAAGTGGTCTCATTTCCATGGTTTTTTTTTCTGATTCTTTGTCTCGCCTTAGTGTGCTAATGTGTCAGCCCTGACCCTGAATGTGCCATGCGATATATGGAGCCCGGAGGCAGGCCTGCTGGGCATGCTGGTGATGAACCTGGTCCCTGCCTACCAGAAAGGCGATCTCTTCTATGTTGGAAACTTCCTCCACAATTATAGACAGTGGGGGACAATGGAGCAAGTGCTGGATATTGTGTTCAAAAAGTGAGTGTTCCCCCTTCAAAACTGGGACAGTTCAGCTATTCCTGGCTGAGTTGTGGAATACTTGGCACCCCTCTGAACCTGTTGATTTCATGGGGGTCTTCTCACAGGAGCTTGGCATGAGACAAAGAAGTGCATACCCTGCGTAGTTTCTTAGTAGCGGTCTGCCCAGGACATTTCCCAGAAAAGCTACTGGAACCTCAGAAGCTTGCTTACTGAGGGGCTAGGATTACAAGCAGGTGCCAGAGGCACACAACTTCTGCCCTCACCTAGGTGAGGTTCTAGGAAATCACATTTCCCATGAGTAAATAAGGTTTCATTGGGAATTGGATGTCTGTGAATAATGTAGACCCAGGAAAGGCTGGGGTGTGGGGGAGGCGGGTGAACTGGAGGCTGAATCAACTCAGAGATTTCAAGGAGGGATTATGTTGGCTTTACATATTATAACCCCTGAAGCTTTTATGTTTTTGTGTGTGTGTTAGTCCTTCCACCTAAACTCAGCGTCTTGGTGCTGTTTCTTTGGTGCTCAGAGCTACCACTACAGCATTTGAACCATAGGTACAATTCTGGCCTTTTAAAAATTAATGTCCTTAGACTTTTACTGACTAATGTCTGATCAGACTGTGCACCTGAGATCTCATGCTCCTGATTAGATAGGATTAGAGGCATGAGCACTGTCACATTTACCTTGGACCAATGCATATAAGTCTCTTAGCAGAATTTTCACTGAACTGTATCTCACTTATTTATGTGTCAGATTGCATTCCCGTCTGGGAATGAGCCCATCCCATATGTGTTCTGTGTGGGCACAAAAGGAGAAGCTGAGAGGTGACTTCCTCCTGTCCTCCCATAGGTACAGATTCCCGGGCCGTAACTCCCAGGAAGATGAACAAGTAAAGAAGTAAGTGGACTGTGGCACAAAGAAAAGGCCCCTTGGTTTAAAATGGTATTTTTGAGGCTTCTGATTCAAAGTGCAGATTTCTCATTTGCACATCACTTGTGCTTTCCACTAGGGGCAGAGGCTTGGGATTGGAGTGGTGGCAGAGGACACAGCTGTGGTGTGGTTGAGGACTCTCAGGGATGACAGGGAGGGCTGTGTGTACAAAATCAGTTCCTTCTTGTTACCTATCACAGTGAGAATATTGGAGAATTATCTTTCAGAAGCTTCTACACGTGGGTGGTGAAGATCAGCCTGCTTGCGGGAGTCTCCTCCTGCTTCCCAACATGCAAGTGTGCATACAGCAGTCCTTGCAGAAAGGGGCTATGGGAGGCCCAGGATAGGGAGGGCAGGCACTCACTCTTCTTGTCACTAATCTGCCCACAGCACCCTTTGTTCCATCTTCATCATGTGGATGGACTGCTACCCTGCAGATTTCCGAGAGCCCCTGAACCGACACCCGTTGAAAGAACTTACCCACTATGCCATGCTCCACATCCCTCCTCAGATCTGGTCCTCCATTTCCACATTCATCTGGATGAGCTGGAGGAGACCGGGAAGAAGGAGACCAAGAAACAGAGGAAGAAGTCCCTGTGTGGTCACCTCAGAGCTTGTGAGTAGGGATGGCGCCTGGGCCTCTAGGGATGATCCTAATTGCCTGAGAGCCCTTATTACCTCCCAGGTTGTAAGAATGTCTTTTTATGATACTATCTGCCAGGCAGTATTGGTTCTATTTGTGAAAGCACTTGCGCTTAGCCACTCTTGGGAAAGACCTTACCTTCTTATCAGTGTTCAGTCCAAAGTAAACTTGTACAGCTTCCTCCATTAGAGCCTCATGGAAATTGAACTCCACCTTAACATCCAGAATCCACTGTCAAACTCCTTTACCTATTTCTCTTTCTCAGGTTTTGGCTGCCATAGAGCAGCTTCTCCTGACCTGCCAAGAAAGTTGCCCTTGGTGATGTCAGGGATGGTGATGGATGGAGATCTGGAGCCATCACTGGACTCCACAAAGCATGTGCATGTAGAGGGGTTGGATGCATTTGCAGTCAGGCCCCAAAAGGTTGTGAGTCCTGTGGATAAGACACTGGTTCTGAACCCCACATGTGACAGAGCTGAACTTGTAGGGACCCCAAAGAAAGAAGAAAGTAATAGTGATTGTCTTCCTCTGACTTTCACAGGCGGCCCAGATCAGCTCATAAAGGGTCAAATCAGCACTCCTCCTGGTGTGCTGGAGGGAGTAGCACACGTGGGGCTGATGGAAAATGTCCCCAGTCTGTGTTCAGGGGAACCAATAAGTGAGGTCCCAAAGTTAGATGCAGCTCAGGAAAGTGAATCGGTCCTCAAAAAATATGTGGACAAATCAGTCCTGCTGCAGCAGAACCAATCTCCAACAGAGAAATTAGAATCTGCCTCTCTGGCAATTGCAGGAGCAACTCCAATCTTTCATGAGGAGGTAGATCCCTTGGAGGATTCTGAGGCAGAATTTATGTTTGAAGGCAAATTAGAAGCCAACCTAGACTTAGAGCTTCCCTCCCCTCTCCCTGGGTATATCTGTCTTTTTCTTTTTGTCCTGATTGTTGTAAAATGTTCATTCTTTTTATTCTTCTAAATTTATTAAATATATATGTTTATGTTTTACAATTTATGGAGGCTAAATGCTGTGGTTTGTTTTCTTATACATTCTGATGTCCCAGACACATGAGTCCTGAGTAAAGGCAAAATAGTGACCTGGAGCTGTCCAAGAGCACTTACTGGCTATGAAGGGAACTGTTCAGTGCACTGTAGGGGCAAGGAACCCAACCCATGCTTGCATGGGGTGATCAGGCCATTACTAAAGTTCTAGGACACAGCAAACCAGATGTCCTTTAAAGTTGTTCTGTCTATTGAGACTTATGCCAGACTAAATGTTCTGTATGTGGGACTTTCTTCCATTAGTGAATTCAAGTCTGTACGCACACCCATTTTGCTCTGTGCAAATATGTAAGGACATTTCACCTCAAAATACCACCAAAATGTTACTTTGAGGGAAAAGTATTTGACAAAATACATAGGAAATCGGTAATAGCCATCATCAATAGAAGACAGAAGATTTAGCCAGAGGGACAAAGACATGCCAGGTGTCCTGGCCCATCTCAATAATTGTAGCTTCAAGAATGCCCTATACTTCGTCAAGGTTCAAATCAGCCCCTGTAGACAAATCTGAAAGACTTATCCAATGAGCCAGCAAAAGTCAGGAACTCATAGCATGGTTGAAGTTACATGTTTAAGCATGGAACAAAAAGTGAGCAGGAGCTTAAGGCCCTGAGTTCAAATTCCACTACTGGCACAAAAGATGAAGACGTCTAGACATGAAATGTGGGGAATGGTAGCTTTAAACCATGAAAACAGAAAAACATACAAATGGGAATATTACATATTTAAGCAAAAAGGTCAGACTCATAATAAACCATTGGTGAGTAGGTGTGGGCCTGTTTATGTTCTATGGGAGCATGTGGAATAATTTATGAAACACCAAATAGATTCCAAGTAGCCAAATGTGGATCAGGATGAGGTGGTACTATGTAGTGAATTGTGGAAGAATAGGATATACATCTTAGATATCCATATACATTTTTCTAAATGGAGTTGTCAGTGATTTCTCAGTCTTCCTGTCTGTCTTTCTGTGTTTGTCTGTCTCTGTCTCTCTTTCTGTCAATCTCTGTCTGTTTCTGTCTCTCTCTGTGTGTCTCTGTCTCTTTTTCTGTCTCTGTCTCTGTCTCTCTCTCTCGCCTTTCCTCTCTCTGTTTGGTTGTGGAGCTGGAACTCATGTTGTGGACACTGTCTCTGAGCTTTTTTTGCACAAGGCTAATGCTCTTCCACTTACAGTCACAGCTGCCCTTCCATTTTTTGGTGCTTAATTGGAGAGAAGAGTCTCATGGACTTTCCTGCCTGATCTGGCTTTGAACCATGATCCTCGGATTTAGCCTCCTGACTAGCTAGCAGTACAGGCGAGATCCACAGCATGCAGTCAGGAATCTTTTTTAGACTTGATTTTCTAAGAAATCACATAAATGGTTCATAGCAAAGGTTTGAAGTGTGACTTCAATGTGACAAGAAAAGAATTTTGTCAGCCTGAGACAATTAAAGATCCTGGAGTGTTGTTTGTTGTTGTTTGAGTCTGGAACCCAGACATATACAAGCTACTGAAGTACTACGCAATTAGCTTTACAATCTGAGTCTAGGGATTCAAGTTTATATAAAATGTGAGCTCTCCATCATGCATACCTCCGAGATATGGTACATGACTTCTGCATTTCTACTGGTGTTTCAAGAACTATTCTATTTATATAATTGTTATTTTGTAAATCTGGTGGTAGAGCTGCACACTTCTAATCAATCAGAGCAACTGGAAAGACAGAAATGAGGAACTTGATATTGAATGCCAGCCGGAGGCCAAAAATCAACAGTTGGTCTGAAAAATAATTGTAAACAAAGAGCCCAGGGCAAGGTCTAACTCACAGAATACCTGCTTACTAAAACATTTTTGGGCAAAATGCTTATAGAACATTGATTATCAATATATAAATATATAGTTTTGTGTAAATATACCATTGATTATAAAAACAGATTAATATATATTTGAGTGTGTGTGTGTGTATCTATAAAGAGAACATAAGGAAATTCAGGAAATTCTGTATGAAAAAGACGCTGTGAGCTGGCCAGCTGAGGCACAGGCCTCCTGGACCAGCCTGGGGCCAGTTTCTCAAGCCCTGTGCGTGACAGGGCCACCTGGACTGGCCTGGGACTGCCTCACACTGCCCTGTCCAAGCCAGCACCATCTGGACCAACATGGGCCAGGCTCACAGAGCACTGTCCATGCCAGTACTGCCTGAGCCTCCGTGGGACAGGATCTCAAAGTCCTGTCCAAGCCAGCCATGCCTGCACTGGCCTGGACCAACCTCACAGAGCCCTGTCCAAGCCAGATCCTCCTAGACTGGCCTGGGTCAACCTCACAGAGTCTTGTCCAAGCCAGCTGCTCCTTGACTGGCCCTAGTCAGCCTTACAAAGCCCGGTCTATGCCACCTTTAACTGGACCAGACTGCACCAACCTCACAGAGCCCTGTGCATGCCAGCACTGCCTGGACCGGTGCAGGCCGACTCACAGAGCTGTGTCCAAATCAGGGCTGCCTAGACCAGCCGGGGGACAGCCTTTCGAGCCCTGTGCAAGCCAGCGCTGCCTGGACCGATGGGGGCTAGCCTCAAAGAGCCCTGTCCAAGCCAGCTCCTCCTAGACTGGGCCGGGCCAGCCTCACAGAGTCTTGTCCAATCCAGCTGCGCCGCGACCTGACTGGGCCAGCCTCAAGGAGCCTTGTCTAAGCCAGCACCATCTGGACTGGACCAGCCTGGAGCAGACTCACAGGGCCCTGTCCAATCCAGCGCCACTTGGATCGGCACTGGCCAGGTTTACAGAACCCTGTCCAAGGGAGAACCGCTGGGACTGGTGCAGGCCAGGCACACAGAGCTCTGTCCAAGCCAGGGTTGCCTGGACCAGCCTGGGACAGCCTCTTGAGCCCTGTCCAAGCCAGCTCTGCCTAGACTGGGCTGGGCCAGCCTCACAGAGTCTTGTTGAAGCCAGCTGCCCTGGACCCGACTGGACCAGACTCAGAATCCCTGTCCAAGCCAACTCCGCCTGAAGTGACCAAGGCCAGGCTCAGAGGGTCCTGTCCAAGCCAGCGCCACCTGGATAGGCCTGGGCCAGTCTCACAGAGCCCTGTCCAAACCAAGGAAGCCTGAACCGTCACGGGCCAGGCTCACAGAGCCGTATCCATGTCAGTACTACCTGGACCAGCGGGGGACAGGATCTCAAAGTCCTATCCAAGCCAGCTACGCCTGCATTGGCCTGGGCCAGCTTCACAGAGCCCTGTCCAAGCCAGCTAGCTTCTACCAGACTGGCCCAGGCCAACCTCACAGAGCCTTGTCCAAGCCAGCTCTTCCTGGACTGGACCAGGCCAGGCTCACAGAACCCTGTCCAACTCAACTTCTCCTAGACTGGCGTGGGCCAACCTCACAGAGTCTTGTCCAAGCCAGCTGTTCCTTGACTGGCCTGGGCCAGGCTCACAGAGCCCTATCCAAGCCAGTGCCGCCTGGACCACCCTGGGGACAGCTTTTCGAGCCCTGTCCAAGCCAGCAGTGCCTGGACTGAGGAGGGCAAGCCTCAAAGAGCCCTGTCCAAGCCATTTCCTCCAAGACTGTGCGGGCCAGCCTCACAGAGTCTTGTCCAAGCCAGCTGTTCCTCGACCTGACCAGGCCATCCTCAGAAGCCCTGTCTAAGCCAGCGCCAACTGGACTGGACCAGACCAGCGTCACAGAGCCCTGTCCAAGATATCTCTGCCTGAAGCGGCCTAGGCCAGGCTCAGAAAGTCCTGTCCAAGCCAGGGCCACTTGGACAGGCCTGGGCGAGCCTCAGAGAGCCCTGTCCATGCCAGCTCCTGCTTGACTGTCCCGGGCCAACCTCACAGTCTTGTCTAAGCCAGCTGCTCCTTGACCGGCCTGGGCCAGGTTCACAGAGCCCTGACCAAGCCAGCGTCTACTGAACCTGACTGCACCCGACTCACAGAGCCCTGTCTATGCCAGCACTACCTGGACCTGCATGGGCCAGGCTCAAAGAGGCCTGTCCAAGCCAGCAAGACCTGGACCGGCGTGGGGCAGTCTTTCGAGCTATGTCCAAGCCAGCACCGCCTGGACCAATGGGGGCCAGCCTCAAGGAGCCCAGTCCAAGCCAGCTCCTCCTAGACTGGGCTGGGCCAGCCTCACAGAGTCTTGTCCAAGCCAGCTGCCCCTCGACCTGACCAGGCCAGCCTCACAGAGCCTTGTCGAAGCCAGCTCCTCCTGGACCAGCCTGGGGCAGCTACACAAGCCCTGTGTGAGACAGGGCCACCGGGACTGGCCTGGGCCAACCTCACAGAGCCCTGTCCAAGCCAGATCCTCCTAGACTGGCCCAGGTCAACCTCACAGAGTCTTGTCCAAGCCAGCTGCTCCTTGACCGGCCCAGGCCAGGCTCACAGGCTCATTGTCAACTGAACCAGACTGCACCAGCCTCACAAGGTCCTGTCCAAGCCAGCCCTGCCTGGACCAGTGCCGGCCAGTTTCACAGAACCCTGTCCAAACGGGCTTCTCCTGGACTGGAGCGGGCCAAGCTCACAGAGTCGACAGATCTCTTCACCTTACCTCAGAGCAGCTTACGTGCCGGGCACTAAGTAGAAGCTGCTAGAAGAAATGGAAACCGGATGGGACCCCTATCCCTGAGAGAGTTGAAGATGGCGACGGGGCAGTAGGGAAACGCCACAGCTCTCTCCAACCAAAAAGAGAGTTCGAATTCCAACCTTTAATCTCCCCAAGAGACCGACAACAACAAAAAGACGAACACTCAGAGAAAAACCAGAGGTGGAAAATAACAAAAAAGGAAAGAGAGGAAAAGAAGAATTTCAGAACAGAGAAGAGCGAAGACCCCTCCCCCAACCTTTACTGGCCGCGCGGCAGTGCGCCAAGCCGCCGGCCAGCCGGCCCGGCGGGGGCTGCCGGAGCCACAGAGACACAGGGGGCTGCTTGCAGATCACCAGGTACCGGATTGCAGAACAGCGGATCGCCAGGAACAGAGAAACCTACCAGCCGGGAGTCTCCAGGAGGATCCCACCCCACCCATCACTCTCCACCGGAGCGGAGAGGCTCCATCCCGCCAAAGCCGCCCGGCACCAGCAGCGCCACAAAGGGACCTGTCGCGATCGCAACGACCCGGCGGGGGGCCGCCCAACCCAGCCCG